CGGCCGTCGGCCCGCCCCCTGCCCCCGGGAGAGTCCATGTGCTGTGGGATGTGGGGGGGAGTCGCTGCGCTCCCACCCCCAGCCCACCTGCCCAGGGCTGCTCCCGCACCCACCAAAACAGAGTCCCCAGTCGCGGCTCCGGAGAGGGTGGGGTGAAGGCAGGAGGCGGTTGGGAATAGGGAATCCCCGCCCCTCCCTACCCCCGCACGTCGTGGTGCGGTCCTGGGTCGCGGGGCGGCGCGCAGTGGCCGCGCGCAGCAGCGAGCGCAGCATGGAGCCGCATCGGTGGCTGCCGCTGGAGGCCAACCCCGACGTGCGTCACCACCGGGGCCGCGCGCTGGGAGGGGGGCGGTGACGTCGCGGGGGACCCCGGGGGGGAGAGGGGGGCCATGGCTGAGGCTGAGACGGTATCGCTCTGTGTTTCTTGCAGGTCACGAACCAGGTGAGGACCCGCGCCCCCCCGCCCGCCGCTGCAGGTAACGGGGCGCCGCCGGGGGCTGCTTCGGCCGGAGCGCGGGACTCAGGTTGGGCCCGGCCGCCTCCCTGCGCCGTCGGGCTGTGCCGGAGCCTGGGCGGGCGCTGCTCGTCTTCAGCAGTTGCTGCGTCCGCTCCGGGCGCTCCCACGCCTCTGGGCTCTGCTGGACGCAGCCCGGCTGGGCGGGGTGAACACCCAGCCCGGCTGCGGTGGGGAGTGGCAGTGAGCAAGGTGGTCCTGCGCTGCTTCCCCCCCGGGGCTGGGCAGGGAGGGGGAAGCTGCTGCCCCAGGTGAGTCCAGCTCTTCCCAGGCTGGCTGGGATGAGCAAAAGCAGCTCTGCTGGTTGTGGCCCCCCTTTCTGCTCCATGGCAGGGTGCTGTTACACCTCCCTTAGAGGTGTTTGAGGTTGGCTGCAGCCAAGGCTGAGCTACAGCTCCTGCTAGGACTTAAAGCTGGAGATCCCTGGTTACTGGGGCTTGCCCCTCTGCTTAGGGTTGCATCAGTTTCTCTCTGCAGAGTCAGGAAGGAGTTTTGCCCCATGGTCAGATTGGAACAGGCTGGGGGGTTTCTGCTTTCCTCTGCAACTGCCCAAAGCCTCCAGAGTGAACATTGTCAGTGCTTCACAGAAGCTGGACACTGACTGTTTTGGTTCCTGGGCTTTACCTGTGGCAGGATAGGGTGCTAGCTATGGGTTGTCAGGGTTGACAGCCATTGGATAAGTAGAGTTTAGCTTATGGTGTGTAGAGGATGGCTTGGCTGGGGTCTTAAGCTGCCTTTGAGGAGGTTCGATGTGAATTAGGTGGCTCAGGTGTATAGTCCTGCTCTAAATTCACTGTAGGGGTGGCTGCAGCCACCACTACCAGCTCCCAGCCTCCTTTCCCCTCCCCTCCGCTCCCTGTCACTGTTGCAGGTGCCCCAGGAGCCTTGGGAAGCATTTTATGTCCCTAAAGCAGGTGAAAATCTCCCCTCCCTTCTCCTGGGTGCTAGAGACCTGTCCCATTCCTTGCCTGCTGCCTTTCCTGCTGTCCAGAGGTGGTGATGCTCCAGCGCTGCTTGTGCCCCACCCCATTCAGGCTGCGTAGGAGCTGGGGATGGGGAGTGGCAGTGGGAATAGGCAAGGAGTTTCTCCTTCCTGTGCCTGCTTCCCTGCCGGGGGACCAGGCAGGGAGGGGGAAACTACTCTCCCACTATGCTAATGCCTCTGTCCCTAGCCCCAGTTGAGCCTACCCCCTGCCTAGCTGGCTGGGAAGGGCAAAAGCAGCTCTGGAGCTTCTGCCCCTGGGACAAAAGGGAGAGGAGGAGTGACAAGTGATGGGTGGGGATGGGGCAGGGATAGGCCAGGGAAAGGGGCAAGGGATTTTCACCTGCTTCAGGGCTTTAGAAGAATCCTTGGAAGCTCCCACTCTGTGCCTCAATCCAGAAAGGGGGTTGGGGGTGCAGCCACATCATTGTATCCTCTCTGGGTCCACCCCTGAGGATCACTTTTTTTAAGAACTAGTGGGTTGTTAATACTAAATTATTCTGTGAAATATATTGCCTGCCCTCAAGATGATTGTGTTGGAACTCTTAACAGGCTTTCCTCCTTTGCATGGGGGTCTGGTTCAGAGATTACCCTATAGTCTCATGTAAAACATGCACCCCTCCTCAAAATCAGGACCCAAATTGGGGTGTCTCTATTATTAATAAGGGAAGCTGACTTTCTGCTTTGATTCCTGCTCCAGTGCAGCAGCAGTAGTGTTACTGCTCGGGTAGCTGGTGGAGGCAGTTGACTTAACGCCTCACTTAATGTCTTTGGCTGAGCAGGAAAGGGAAAGTGAATCAGCTGAAGAGTAGGCCTGTCCCTGCTCTATGCAGAAAGGGGTATGATGTGGCAGTCATCAGGGAGAAGGGGAAGTTATGTTACTACAATGCCCAACAGGCTTTATGCAGCCATAACTTTGACACTTTTATTTTACCTTTCAAAATCAAGGTGCGTATTGTTTTACTGGATGTGTGTATATGAGACAATATGGTAATCAGTCATGAGGTGAATTCTTCAGAGTATGTAGGACAGGGAAGGTAATTACCAGATCATTTTCTCAGCTTTTGGTTTTGCTAACTTGAATAATGCAGCAGTTCTCATGCAAACACTTCCAGTGAAGTGCAAGAGCCTAATTAAAAATAGTTTTTCAGCTGAAGTGTATGTGTTTTCAGTTGAAAAAGTATGTGTATAAATGCCCGTAGTGTGCCTGAATACATTCTGGTACAGTTTGCACCGGAGTTTATTGCTCGTCGGCACAGTGTTTACAAGTGAATCCAGGACCTCAGCACATTAAGCTGGGGTAGCTTTGCCCCAGCTGGTAGGAGGTCCAGGGGGTCAGCCTGTCAGCCCAGGGCTGCTCTGCTCTGGCTCAATGTGCTGCAGCTGGCTGGGGCACAAGGGTCCTATAGTGCAGGGTTAGCTAGCAAGCAGCATCCATGCTGTAGCACCTTCGTGACCCAGTCAGACCTGCTCACCGTTTACATGTGCATTGTCACGTGTGAACAGTAATGCTTTGCTGAAGAGCTAATTGGTAAACTTTGCAGTAAAGCACATATGTAGATGCCTCCACTGAGCTTTAATTGGCCATTAAATAAAACTGAGGGAAAGCTGATTTCCTTTTCTAAATATCAGAACTATGCTAGGTTGTGTTGACTTGCTTGCTTGCTTGATGGGGGGAGTAAAATTTAACCATTTTTCTGTAAAACGTCTTTCACGTAAGCAATGGGAATATCTCTAAACTTGACCTTCCTTCAAGGAGATTCAACATGAGTTTCAAATAGCTAAGCTATATAGTTTTGTTCTAAACTCAGTTATGGGATTTTTGTTTGTTATAAGCAGGGTAGATCTAATCTACAAGCATATGTACTTTTTACTTGAAAAGGACTTTTTGTTAAAGTTTATTTTAAAATGTTCCTTGAAGTGTATTATAAATCTGAAACACAAGCCTGTATTCTGTGATGTAAATTCAAAAGCTTTCAGAAAATGTTACAGAACATGTCAGAATCATGGAAAATTGAAGTTGGAAGGGACCTCAGGAGACCATCTAGTTTAACCCCTGCTCAAAGCAGGACCATCACCAACTAGATCATTCCAGCCAGGGCTTTGTCAAGCCAGGACTTAAAAACCTCCAAGCATGGAGATTCCACTATCTCTCTAGGTAACCTGTTCCAATGCTTTACCAACCTCCTTGTGAGAGAATTTTCCCTAATATCCAACCTAAACCTCTCTTGCTTCAACTTGAGACCATTGCTCCTTGTTATGTCATCTGCCACCACTGAGAACAGTCTGGCTCCATCCTCTTTGGAACCTCCCTTCAGGTGCTTGAAGGCTGCTGTCAAATGCCCTCTGTCTTCTCTTTTACAAACTAAATGAGCCCAGTTCCCTCAGCCTCTTCTCAGAAGTCATGTGCTGCAGCTCCCTAACCATTTTCATTGCCTTCCGCTGGAATCTCTCCAACTTTTCCACATCCTTTGTATAGTGGAGGCCCCAAACTGAATACAGTACTGGACACAGACGAGCTTTTGAATGTACCACTTGTTCTGAAAATGCAGAAAATATCGTGGTTGTAGACTGCGGGATTTTGGCTTTATCTTATAGAATTTACACACAACAATTTCAGACTTTCTCCCTATGAGCAGGTTTCTGTGCGATTTTTAGGCTGGGATGGAGAAAGTAGTACAGCTACTTAGTAGCGCTAGGACCTTCCTGTTCCACATCCCATTTGTAATCTTGTTCTTTACACTCTGAATTGATTTAACACAAGAGAGCAGATGGTAAGAAAATGTTTTTTTTTTTTTTTTTTT